GGGGGTGTGTGGAGTAAGATGTTCCTGGTATTTTAACTCTTCTTCACTAATCTGCCACTTCCCATTTTTTTTTTGGGCGGAGCTGCAACAAATCATGCTAATTTAAGGTTTTCTGATTTTTCTATGCTTCATGTAGCATTATGTTATTCGGTTTATGTCATTATCTAGTGTAGCTTGTGTATCTGAGCTGTTTTGAGTTTCTAAGCTTCTCATTCTAGCTGCTTTTATTTGCTTGCCAAGTAGTAATTGTTAATCCCCTCTTGCTTTTTTTTTTTTTTTTTTCATTTTGTTTCCTTGGACGTAGAGTTGCCTGGTCACTTCTTCTTTCAGAGTACTGTTTATCTTTATTTAGCTATTTTTTAAATCTGTAAAGCATCAGAATTCTTTTATTCCATTACTAATGTTGATTATGCTGTCTATTTGTTTGCAATTCCAGGTACAATACCGTATGCATCCTGCATTATCTGAGTTTCCATCAAATAGCTTTTATGAAGGTACACTCCAAAATGGTGTAACCATCAATGAAAGGCAATCAACAGGCATTGATTTCCCTTGGCCTGTGCCCAACCGTCCCATGTTCTTTTATGTTCAGGTATTATCAGATTATTTTAGCTGATTCTTCTTTGTTTTTCGTTTTTTGAGTTGTGGAAAAACCTGTCATTTTTGTTTTGGGATGTTATTGTGATGGTTATGGTTACACTAAAGATTGTTTCTCCTATATAGTTTATAGGAACTTTTTCCTGGTTTACTGATATATTCAAATTTGAATACTTGATTTGAATACTTGGTAATTCATCTATAGATGGGACAAGAGGAGATCAGTGCTAGTGGAACTTCCTATCTGAATAGAACTGAAGCTGCAAATGTGGAGAAGATTGTGACTACATTTCTTAAGGGTGGAGTAGTCCCTAGTCAGGTAAATTCTTATATGCATCTTTAAGGTTGAACACCTTCTTTTTGTGGCGAGGATGTAATTATTTTAAATTCACAGATTGGGGTCATAACACCATATGAGGGTCAACGAGCATACATTGTAAATTACATGGCAAGAAATGGTTCCTTGAGGCAACAACTTTACAAGGAAATTGAGGCAAGCATTAAATAGATGAGCTTTATGGTAGTCTTGGATTCTTAATACTTACTGTGAGTATTTGCTATGTTCAGGTTGCAAGTGTTGATTCATTTCAAGGGAGGGAAAAGGATTATATTATTTTGTCATGTGTCAGGAGTAATGAACATCAGGTTGGTTTGCATATCCATTAATTCTCTCTTTTTGATGCTTCATGTTTTAACATATTCTGATTTGATTCGATCTGTTGAAGATTTATGCATCCTCCTGTGAACCATACCTCTGTTCTTTTTTTCTCTCTAACCTCCCCCCCCCTCTTCTGGTCCTTTTTGGAGTTTGTTTAACTTCATTTGCAAAAAGTTTCAGTTCTTTTTTATTTCGGGGTGCAGGAGGTCGGGTGGAATTTTTGTTAGGCGTTAAGATATGTTTTTGCAATAACTTGCATGCTTAATATATAGTCAGTGTGGATCTCTGACTCTCTTGTGCTTAAGCTTTAATCTATTCCACCAGTTCCCATNCTCCCATATTTCACTCTTAAACTTAGTATTGACTTCTTCTTTTACTTCTCTTTTCTTTTTAGGGCATTGGATTCCTTAATGATCCACGGAGGCTTAATGTTGCCCTTACACGTGCTCGTTATGGTATTGTTATACTTGGAAATCCTAAAGTTCTTAGCAAACAGCCTCTGTGGAATGGCTTGTTGACACACTACAAGGTAATTTCTTCAAAATATTCTCTTGTAATGCTTATTAGGCATTATTTCGCGATTTCTCTACACTTCGGAGAAGTTATGAACTGGCAAAGTTGACATAATATTAGGTGGTTAATTTTTTGGGATAATATATCACGTTGAATTTGTTAGGCAATATTGTTACTGTCTGCAGGCTGGGGACGTATTGAGTAATGTCTCAGTAGGTGTTTCATGCTTTGAGATGCTCATGCTTTAATGAATTTGTTTCTCAGGAGCATGAGTGCTTGGTAGAAGGTCCTCTGAATAACTTAAAGCAGAGCATGGTTCAATTTCAGAAGCCCAAAAAGGTACTTATTGTGGTCAAATACTCTTCCAAAGTTATATGTTTGTGCTTGTGCTTGATTATGCATCAGTACTCAGGTTTCTTGTAACATTGTTTGCAGATCTACAATGAGCGCAGACTTTTCTTTGGTGGTGGACCAGGAATTCCAGGTGACAGTTTTGGATCTGCTTCAGGCCCCAATGCTGACAGGAGAAATAGTCGTTCTAGGGGTATGGTGGATCTGAACTTTCCCCCACTGACTGTTAATTGCTTGCTGAGATGTTGTATGATTGGAGCTCGTGTCTTTCATCTGATAATGTGTCAGAAAACTGCTTTTGCTTTCTTATTGTACAGTTTTTCTCAAAGAAACTTTGGAATAGGAGTGACAAAATGGTTAAAAGAAAACAGCTAACCACCCATATTATCCACTAAAAAATGGGTTGGATAATGAACTTTTTAAAAACGGGTCAGATATGGATAAGAACCATATTATCCATTTATAAAATGGTTAACCAATAGGTAACTAATGGATAACCAATGGGTCTAACTTTTACATTTGTAAAACCTCAAATTGGGGGTTCCTCAAGTTAGGGAGACTAAGAATTCTCCCAAAAGTGATCATATGCAAGAAGTCATGGATAATATGGTTACCCATATTATCCGCCGGTTAACCCGTTTTTTTTATCCGTATTAAATATGGGCCGGGTTGGATAATTTATCCGTTTTTTCATTACCCATTTTCGACCTGACCTATATCCGCCCCGCCCCGCCAGTTTGCCACTCCTTTGGAGTAACTAGAAAATTTTCATTATTATTATTATAATCTCATGGAATTTATATATGTATTTGTCTGCTTTTGCTGAGGATATGATTTTAAGTGTAGGTTCTTATATGGCACCTGGTGTACCCAACGGTACTCAGAAACCTGGTGTTCATCCTGCTGGTTATCCAATGCCTCGGGTTCCCTTTCCACCTTACCATGGAGGCCCTCCACAACCGTATGCAATTCCTACTCGTGGTGCTGTCCATGGGCCTGTTGGAGCTGTTCCTCATGTTCCACAGCCAGGTAGCCGGGGTTTTGGGGCTGGACGTGGCAATGCCAATGCACCAATTGGTAGTCATCTCCCTCACCATCAAGGCGCCCAGCAACAGGCTGGAAGTCTTGGATCTAACTTCAACTTTCCTGCATTGGAGAATCCAAACAGTCAGCCTTCTGTTGGAGGACCTTTATCTCAGCCTGGATATGCTTCTAATGTTAGTAAATTTCAGTTTGTTTTTTCGATCAATAGTAGGTGATTTGCTGTAAGCATTTTCTCTCTTTTGAATTATAGATGGGTATCCAGGGACCAGGCCAGACATTTCGGGATGGATATTCTATGGGTAGCATGTCACAGGTGATTGATTCTGAACATCAAAATTGTTATTTTGATTTAATTTTTCTATCATATTTACCTTAGATTTGTTCATCAGGATTTCGTGGGAGATGATTTCAAGAGCCAGGGGTCTCATGTTCCATATAACGTTGCTGACTTCTCTACACAGGTTCTTGTCCTGCACATTTTCCAGTAATTGTATATTGGGCCTGCACATCACTGCCCTTTTTATGCATAATTATTTGATTTTCTCGCTCCAATTAGTTTACATAGGCAAAGCAATATTAACTGGCCTTTTTTTTTGTTGGTATTTAGGCTTCTCAAAGTGGATATGCTGTTGATTATGTAACTCAAGGAGCACAGGCTGGTTTTCCAGGGAACTTCTTAAACCAGAGTTCGCAATCTGGATACTCCCGTTTTGGTTCAGGAAATGAATTCATGTCACAGGTTAATTTTAATTGTTCACTCCTTTGGCCCCTTAATGTCTCAAACTTTAAGGCCTGGAAAGCATGTATTTAAATATGAGAGTCTGGAAGTTTTCACAAGTTCATCATTAGCTCTTCTGACTGGGTGGCTTTGGTAGACGAGTTAATTGAAGTGGTCTCTTATGTTTTCTTTTCTCTTGATCTTCCGGTTGGACTTTTGCTTATCGGACTTTTTATTTCTGGTGCAGGACTACATGGCTCATGGATCCCAAGGTCTCTTTACTCAAGCTGGATACAATAATCCATCACAAGATGATGGTCCACAGAATCATTTTGGCATGTCCAATGCATCTCTTCAGTCTCAGGTTAGTTTATTAAATAATTCTGCTTGAGAGTTGGCTAAATTATTGACACGCACAAAATAGGAAATATGGATTAGGCGAAGTCCACTAGATTGCACAAATGATTCTTCACGGGAATATAATGCCAGGGGACTTCGCTTGTTAGAAAATATTTTCTTCTTGCTATTAGTTTATTTCAACTAGTCTAATGTCACTTGGATGATTGAGGTTTTCCTTGGAATAGCACTTGAATTTGATTCCACTTTTTCCAGAGTTCGCTTAATCCACTTTACTCCCAACCATTTGCTCACTACAACACGCAACCATTTAACATGCAAAGCCAACCTCAGCAGCAAGCCCCACAAGGCCAGGGCTTCCAAAATCAGAAACTTCACTACAATAGTTGAAGATCGCAGGCTTGTTTATGTGATGGGTTATAGTTTGCTTCCAGCAATTTGGTTGATGCTGTCAACACGTGGACCATATTATCTGACCTAAGATGAGTTAAAGAGTTTGCTAATAATTCAGGTCAAATGGTGACATATCCCTTGCCAGTGATTCTGAATGTTGAGTCAGAGGCTGGAGTGGTGGAAGGCTCTCTGCTCAAGTAAACCATGCGCAGCACAACTGGTGCTGAGAAAGGAAAAATAACCCATGTTATCTTTGTGAAGTTTTACATATTGTTTGAAGAGAAAGTAATACTATTTCTCCGGGAGAGAAAGGTTACATGGCATGCTATTGGCCGGAAGGGTGGGTTATTCAGGACACGGAGCTTGCTACTTGCGCATTGGAAGTACAACATTGTTTGAAGCTGCGACCATATCTTTTGTACAGTGTCCAGGCGAAAGTCAGCTAACCCTTTCAGCTCTTCCTGACATGTAATTAAACTCTTTAGTCTTTGTATTACGTGGATAATGACGATAATTATCAATGTATTTATGTTTCAGCACTTGAGGTATTGGGTATATAAACATGCAGGTATTAGTCATTTGATTAAACTGGGTTGCTTGTAATCCAGTATCATTTTTTGTGTGGATGTCTTTTGAAGCGTTTTGCTTGGAGTAGTCAATGGAAAATGGAATACGAGTACTTCAGCACTGCATTCGTTTGTTTTGCCACACCTCCATGGCATCTCCCATCTAATTCTACCTTCCATGGAGAATTGCCTTTCGAGTTTTTAGAAAAACTGTCGTGTCTGTGAAGAGAACTCTATTTATTACACTAGCGTGGTTGTTTTCTTGCTTGTTAGCATTTTTTTCTGATTACATGTAGCGCGCTTGACTGGTAAGATGGAGCCTTTTTTTTTGCTTGGCTGAAGCCATATAAGGCTTAAAGGGATTGTATGTTTAGGATGCATCCAGATGAAATCTTGCCCTGGACGAATGTTAATTACTAATATGAAATTAACTTTAAGATGTATTTAATTCAACGGGGAAAAGTTGGTTACATTGATGTTTTGGGCTTTTGCAAGTTAATGACTTGCATTTGCATGTGCGATGGGCGAAGGTTGTTTCTCTTATAGGCAGTTGCCTGCGCTATAATTTTATTATAGTTCTTTATTGAGGACATAATTTTTTGTTGTTTCTTTCTGTGTGAAATTAATACCTTTTTAGCATTTATAAAATAGTTCAAAGTTTTTTAAAGATCGCAGAGTGCGCATAACTGATACTTCCGTCGGTACTTATTTAAAAACGAAAAATGACGCTGTAAAAAATAATAGCCGTGTATATTTTTTTGTATATATATATATATACTTTTTCGGCTACCAAATAACAATGTATAAAGATCGCAGAGTGCGCATAACTTATACACTTTTTTCGGCTACCAGACGTAAATAGTTTCTCGTGCAGGCTAAAAGTAATAATACTCCGTTTACTTGATGTCAAGCTTATCAACGGGGCTATTATTGAAGATTGTAAGTATTTGCTGGAAGCCAATATGGCTACTATTACACATATTTGGAAGGGGGCGATGCTGACTTTCTAACGAATGAAAGACACAAACATGAAGAAGCTCTGATAATCTAGGAAACTGCGGTTAAGGAAATGAAGTTTTTTTCACTTTGCTGATTCAAACCATGTCATGTATAACGGCATAAGAGATTTTAAGTAGGGAAAATGATACTGTATAGCCGCTCTTAAAATAATAGCCGAAATATACATTATAAAAATTATACAAATTTTATATACGTTTTCGGCTACCATTTGGCGTGGACTAAAATTAAAAAAAAAACTTTTAAATACTTTATTGAGTATTTTCCAATGTAACAACAAAAGAAGAAAGTTCAGTTCATATATTAAGGCGGAATTTATAGCAAACGCAGTAGGGTTGGTCCAGCAACAATAAGCGTGTGTAATGCAGGTCTGATTGACAATAACATTATTATATAAAAACCAGTAGAATATTAGCAACAAATCAGAATGGCGCAGCGGAAGCGTGGTGGGCCCATAACCCACAGGTCCCAGGATCGAAACCTGGCTCTGATATATAATTAGAGACAAAGGCTTCCATATGCATATTTTTTGTGTACCGTTACCATTTTTACTCATTATAAGCTTTTCAAATTTATAACTGGCTAATTTGTTAACAAGAAATATGGTTGTTTAACACCCCCCTCCCTCCCCCGGTTAATCCGCAGACCTTACCTCTACTCAGGATGGGATAGAGAGACTGTTTCCGGAAGACCCTCGGCTCAGAAACAATAGATATGTGACAACAAAACCCAAAAAATAATATCAGCAACTTAAAAGACAACAAATAAACGAAAAAATAATAACGCAAATATTATGCAAAAGTGTGAAACACAGCATAAATATCAAAAGCCGAAGGAAAAACAAAGGGACAAAAGCATATGACAAGATATCAATTAGAAAGTAATCAAGTTCCTAATGGGAATTATTAAAAGGATAAAGGTATGTTAGGTAACATGTTGTTCAATTTTCCACTTTGTTTTCTTGAAACTCAAATTTCATTTACTCAAAATGCTTTATTGAGTCATTAGGGATAAAATAAAATATCTTATATTAATGAGTTTCACTAGAAATGTAATTTTTTTTTTTAAAAATAGATTAAGAAAAAGAACGAGTGTCAATTGAAATAGATTTTTATATGAACCATCATTAATCAGAGGTTTTAGGTTCAGGTCATTCTCATTTTCTCTTTTTCTCCTTTAATAAGCTTTATGCTATGCGATTCCTAATTAATCCCGTTTCAAAACATATCCTGCACACCCAGTGAAAATTTAAAAAGAAAAAGAATCTACTTCAAATTATACAAGGACCCAATCCACCTATTTCCATCTTGATATGGGAAAACTTCCAACAAAATTTGTTTCTACCAAAGGAAAATCCAGCAATATATTCTTGTACTTTATGTCTGCTTTGATTTTGGACCATACCACCTATATATTATTGAATTCAAATTTCAAACTTGATTTGCTTTGAACAAGTAAAGCTACTATTCTTGTTCTCTAATTTTTCTCGTAAATGAATTCTTCTTTTACTTTTTCCCGTTTTGTGTTCATACTTTTTCTAGTTTAATTGTAATCGGTTTAATAATAAAATTGTATGGATCGAACTCATAAAAATTAAATTTTGACCCTGTCAAAAGAAAAAATAATAGATACAAGAAAGTAAACTTTCTTCCCTCAACTATACGCCACACTTCCATCAACTCAATTATCTTCAGGGCCACTCCATCTTTTTATAATAGATTTCATGAGATGGTTTTAGTGACAAGTCAATTGAGCATCAAGAACCATATTCCAGCCATGATATTGGTCAGAGAAAGGCCTAATGTGCAACACGCCATGTCTAAGAATACAAAAAGTGGGTGGTCATGTACCAAAAATAGAAAGATAAAGATAAGAAAGTAAGATACGAAAAAATAAAAAGAAAAAAGAAAAGTAAGATGCATTACTCATAAAAAGTTTCTTTCACTAGTTGTTTACACCATATTAATAAATAAATATAAAGACATAACCGGATATAAGTAAATTTTTGACCATGCAGTGACCCAATGTTGGGGAAGTGCCCAGTTAGCCAGTAATAACACATGTATTTATTTTTAAGCCACTGTTTATAATATTTTTAGTATTTAGCCACTGTTTTAATAAATTTTTACTTGCCCGGACGAAAATACCCTTCTGCTCATAAAGTTCAGGATCAAGTGTCCTTAACTTATGGGCTTGTTACTGTAAGTTCAGGACTAGCTGTCCTTAATTTATGAGCTTGTAAGTCTAAGTTTAGGACTACCTGTCCTTAACTTTTGAACTTGTACTCTAAGTTCAGGACTACATGTCCTTAACTTTTGAACTTGGAACTTGAAGTACAAGACTACGTATCCTTAATTTCTATGCTTGTAACTCTAAGTTAAGGATTGCCTGTCCTTAATTTCTGTGCTTGTAACTCTAAGTTAACGACCAAGTGTCCTTAATTTTTGAACTTCCAACTCTAAGTTCAGGACCAAGTGTCCTTAACTTATGAGCTTGTTACTGTAAGTTCTGGATTACCTATCCTTAATTTATGAGCTTGTAAGTCTATGTTAAGGACTACCTGTCCTTAGTTTTTGAGCTTGTAACTCTAAGTTTAGGACTACCTATCCTTAGCTTTTGAATTTGTAACTTTAAGTTGAAGACTATATGTCCTTATTTTTTGAACTTGAAACTCTAAGTTTAGGACTACATGTCCTTAATTTCTGTGCTTGTAACTCTAAGTTAAGGACTACATATCATATGCTAGGCATTGAAATATTTTGTACTAAATCACTTTCCCCATATCCTCATGCTCTACAAAGATAGAGAAGGATATAAATGAAATTGATGAGTGAAAGAATGTTGGTTACTGTGACATGTTCAAATGTGATACACAGATTGCCCTGAATATTGTGAACATGTTAATGAAAATGTCATGCTGCAGTAGACAGTGTACAACATATGTAGCCGAGTTTGTATGAACATGCTAGCAAACTCTTTTTTCTAAATATGCAGCTTTCCTGCGGAACGAGAGAAAGGGTTTTGAAATTTAGAGGGTTTGGATAGGAAAAGAGATAGAAGAAAGGGTAACACCGTCTTTTCATATTAATTTTAATAGACTATTGGCTACTTTTGCTGAGCATTAAAAATACTGGATAAAAAGTAAATACCACTTTAAAAAGTGGCTACTCCACGCAATTTTTACACCATTGTTCTCCTAATTTTTCTTTTGTGGGCCCATCAGAACAACCTAATAAATAATAATTATTGCTTCACCCTGACCGTTCCTCATTTTTTTATGTCTTAAGGCCATAAAATAAGAATTTAGATCGATTTTCAATTTTTATGTGTTAATGTACACACATCTTTATGAATTTGGGCGATGAGATCCGAATAGCCTAAAATTTTTTAGGCCCATAGAAACGACCTAATGAATAATAGTAATTGCTTTGTCATGATCAATTCTCAATTTTGTTTGTTTGTTTTACGGCCACAAATTAGGAATTCAGGACGATTTCTATATTTTCGTGAGTTAATGTCCATGCCATCTTCATGAATTCAATCAAGGGGCTCCGAATAGCCTAAAATTTTGTGGGCCCATCAGAAACAACCTAATGAACAATAGTCATTGCTTCTCCATGACCGTTCCTTATAGTTTGTCTTTTTATGACCATAAAATAGTAATTCAAGATGATTTTTAATTTTTCGTGTGTTAATGTCCACACCATCATCATGAATTCAGACGATAGGCTCTGAATCGCCTAAAATTATATGGGTCCGTCATAAATGACCTAATGAACAATAATCATAGTTTCGCCATTACCGTTGCTCGTATTTTGGCATTTTATAGCCATAAACAGGAATTCAGGATGATTTTCAATTTTCATGTGCTAATCTCCATTCTATCTTTATGAACTTGGGCGACGGGCTCTAAATCGCCTAAAAATTTTGTGGACAATCAGAAACGACCTAATGAACAATACTCATAATGCTCCTCGTTTTTGGAGGGGCACAAAATAGGAATTCATGGCGATTTTTAATTTTTCGTGTGATAATGTCTACGCCATATTCATGAATTTGGGTGACCGACTCCAAATCGCCTAAAATTTTGGGGCCCCATAAAAAATGAC